TGACCCTCTGTGTACACTTCAACAGTAGATCTGCACAATGCCCACAGCAGATAGAAAATTTTAAAGTTATTATCTGTGAAAACATAATTTTTATTCACCAATAATTGGGTATGTTTTGTGTTCATCTTGTTCAAAAAGAAGATTCATCAAACTTTACAGCTTCATACAATTTTTTTTTTTAAGTAAGGAAATCAGTGTGGACGAAAAACAGAGGCAGGAAAAATTTGATGAAGCTATGAAGTAAGACTGGCAAACAGAACACAGCCCACTAAGATACTGTATGCTGGGTAGGGCAGACCACAAACCTAGCTCTGAGCATTCTGGCAGCCAAGGGTGAAAAAAGAGAAACATGACCAGTTCCATGACTCACAGTGTCCACATGATAATTTTTCATAGGACTAAAACCTGAAGTAACCTATACCTAGGCCCTCCAACACTCATATTCACATACTTCCTTTCAGAATTAAATTTCTTTAATATCCAATTTCACTTTGCACCCCTTGCCTATAACATGTATTTTAAAATAACAGATAATATATCTTCATTATTTGCTTTAAAACAAAACTATTATTTGTATTTAGTATGCTACTGTGCACAAAGCCTCAGGGTCCAGAGAATGGCTCGTGCATCAGGCAGCAATGACAGAACACCATGGTCACTGTTTTAAGACTTCACAAAAAAGATGTTCATGTTGATATTTTCTTGGACTGAAAATCTATAGCTGTGGCTTTTCCTGACTACATCATCTGCCATGTGTTTAAATCGTAAAATATATTTGTAGAACATGATGACTGATTCAACACAGTAAATTTTCCTGAATTTTTTGAAGACAAATTGACACTAAAAATAATCATGGGTACAATACAGGTATTACCTGGGCTGCTCAGCAGCAGCAAAAGCAGCCATACCATTTATGAAGCACTTACTAAATGTTCAGGGTTAGTCTATATACTTTATATACATACCTCCAATCTTCAAAATAGTTTAAGAATGTTAGTATTAACTGCATTTTACAGATGAGGAAAAAAAAAAATGAAGATCATTAAAATAGCAAATATCTTTGTTTTTAAATGTTGTATTATACATGTTCAACAATTCACAAAAGTTGAGATTATACTATACTCTAACATATTCCAAGATTCAACTAAAGATTTTCCCAAATTTCCTTTATCTACCATTTTTTGATTAAGTTTTTTTATAGAAAACTCTAGTCATATAATTTCACCCCTATATTAGTACACCATTTTTTAAAAATAAAGACAGATCCTTACTTAATCCAATGCCAAAACTAAGCCCAACAAAGTCAATGATAATTTCTTGGAATCATCTAATAGTTACTTTGGAGTCACAAGTCAAATACCCCAAATTTTCTCTAAGTCTTTTTACAGTTGGTTTGTTCAGATTAGGATCCAAAGAAAATCCACACATTTAATTATTTCTCTTGAGTTTTCCACACCTCTTTTTTCCCTATCTCTGGTTGCTGTAAAAGAAAATGTCTCTTTTGAGGCATGATTCACATATCATAAAATTCACACTTTTAAAGTGTATAATCTTAATATATTCACAAGACCATGCAATCATCACACTATGTAATTCCCAGCACTATGTAATTTGCTGTAAGTTTTGTCACACTAAAAAGGAACCAGCACACATTAGCAGTTACTGCCCATTCCCCACTCCCAGGCTATGGCAACCATTAATCTACTTTCTGTCTCATTGAATTCTTCTGTTCTGGACCTTTCATATAAATTAAATCACAAAAGCAAATGTGTTTTGAGTGTCTATCAGATTAGGTACCACTGACAAATATAGATAGATACCAAAAATACATATGACATAATTCCTGTCGATAACAGATAGTCAACAAATACCAACACATTATATTTGACATATAAATACTACATTATGAATGCTCTAAACTCATGGTTTTTATCTTTAACCTCACAAATATACATAGGAGAAACAAAATTCATGTATGTGACATACTAATGGGTTACCTACATGTGACAGAAAGTCCATTTTACTGCTGCACACAATTCCCACAATAACTAACAGTTAACCAAAAATGGTAGTTCACCATAATGGTGGCTTACTGCCTGTCTTTACAACTCCCAGCTTCCTCTCAATCTCAGAAAAGCATACCAGAATGCAAGTTGAAGAAATAGAGATAACATGTATTTTTACATTTATTTTTAGTATATCATTCACACACTTGAGCACTTTTTAAGGAAGGAAGTAAAGAGCTAGTGGTTAAGGGAACAGCCCCCAGAATGCACATATTCTCCAGGGTCAGACTTGTACACCCCTTTACCACGTAACAGCAGTGTGACCTTCGGCAATGATTTAATCTCTAAGTCTCAGTTTCCCTGTATGTCAAATGGAGATACTAATAAGTATGACTGCTTTCAAGATTTAACATAAAACTCTTATGAAGAAAAGCTGCTTACTAAATGTTGGTTAGTGGCAATAATACTTATGATCATTTCACTATTTTTAACAAATCACACATGCCACTTCACAACTGACAGAGCCACTTCCATTTGCAGCTGTCAGCACGTGTGAGACTGACCACCCGAGAGGAACAGATAGAGTAGCTCAACTGTCCACACCCCGGCATATTAACATTGAAGGGAAATAATAACCTGAACTTGGAGAATTTGAAACTCAGAAACATTAAGGTAACTGACTTGTTATTCCCCTGTCTCAAGATCCCCACCAGCCCTCACCACCAACTCTACAAAGCTACTTACGGGCTGAGAAGAGCACAGCTATTAGAAATGTCCATCACCATCAGGCTTTCCTTTCAGGTATGCTGGAGACAGAAACCACCTCCCAAGACAACCTTCCCTTGCCTGTGCTCTAGGCTCCCTGTCATACCCAGGATTCCTAACCCCCTGCCTTGGATCTCTCTCATTTGCATGGTTACCTTTCCTTTATACTAATTATCACTATACTATTTGTTCACTATCATAAAATCATTTTTCCTGGCAATAACAGACTTAGGCAATATTTATTAAAGGTTAAGTCTTAAGGAAGAAGATTATATCAGTAAAATTTTATTCTTTTGCCTCATGATCCTAGGCAATAAGCTTTCTCTTCAGCCTCTATCTACTCATAGGGCTCAATATAGCATGGAGAAGAGAGGATGGTGTCCTCATCCTCTTTTAGTTTAGGAGCTAAAGTGAAACAACATACAATGGGTGCTTCGGAAACTCCATGAGAACTGCAGACATCTATTCCTTAGGGAACATGGACCATCTACCTTTGAGGAACAGAAAATGCCTCTGCTCCCCACAATCTGTCCCACAGCAGAGACCCAAGAGAGCTGAGTTAGGAATTACAACACTCCCAGGAATTTCCAGGGTGGCGGGGGTTGCAGAGAGGGGCACAGCCCCGCTGAAGACATTCATGGCCCAAAGTCAAAGAGCTAATACATAATATACAGTCTAACATTAGAGGGTGAGCCTTCTAGACTTGAAATAACTAACTGGTACCTAACCCAGAAGTGAAGTGCTTCCAAAATTACTACCAATTACAGCAGAATATTATGTAACACTTAAAAAAGAATGAAAACTAGTACAGCCGCTATGGAAAACAGTGTGGAGATTTCTTAAAAAACTGGAAATAGAATTGCCATATGACCTAGCAATCCCAGTTCTGGGCATACACACCGAGGAAACCAGATCTGAAAGAGACACGTGCACCCCAATGTTCATCACAGCACTGTTTATAATAGCCAGGACATGGAAGCAACCTAGATGCCCATCAGCAGACGAATGGATGAGGAAGCTGTGGTACATATACACCATGGAATATTACTCAGCCATTAAAAAGAATTTATTTGAATCAGTTCTAATGAGATAGATGAAACTGGAGCCCATTATACAGAGTGAAGTAAGCCAGAAAGATAAAGACCATTACAGTATACTAACACACATATATGGAATTTAGAAAGATGGTAACGATAACCCTATATGCAAAACAGAAAAAGAGACACAGATGTACAGAACAGACTTTTGGACTCTGTGGGAGAAGGCGAGGGTGGGATGTTTCAAGAGAACAGCATCGAAACATGTATATTATCTAGGGTGAAACAGATCACCAGCCCAGGTTGGATGCATGAGACAAGTCCTCGGACCTGGTGCACTGGGAAGACCCAGAGGGATCGGGCGGAGAGGGAGGTGGGAGGGGGGATCGGGATGGGGAACACATGTAAATCCATGGCTGATTCATGTCAATGTATGGCAAAACCCACTACAATATTGTAAAGTAATTAGCCTCCAACTAATAAAAAAAAAAAAAAAAAGAATGAGTAAGGACATGTATACTGATGAAAATATCAAGATACAGAAGAGTATCTGTGGGTATTCACATATTGTTTTTAAAAAACAAAAACTAGACGGAGATACTTCAGTCTTACCAGTGGTCCTCTAAAATGTAGAATCTGGAGAGTAGAGAGAAAGAAAATGGAGAATTTCCCTTTTTATTTTATTTCCCTCTGAAGAGTCTAAATTTGTTATGAATTAATGATAAAAAACACCTGCTGGAGATTTGCCAAAATATGAAATAATTTTTTTTTATCAGCCTAAGTAACGTCTCTTTATAAACAATTCAACATCTGGCATTAATATGTATCAATACACATGAACAGAAAAGCCATCTAAATTAGAGGACCTGCATTATTCAAGAAGCATAAACTGTTATGTAAGATAAATAGAAAAACAGATTAGCTAAGTTTGATTTGACCACTTGATCAGATTTATCAGAAATTTTACCTGCAAAACATTTAAAAATCAAGAATTAAGATAGTGCAAGAATAAAATGTCTTTTTCTAACTTTTTCTTTGGTCATGAGAAACAGGAAGGCAAATCACAAAACAGAAATCCATGCATCTCTTGGAAAAATTCTGGTATATTTAGGGTATAAATCTGGTTCTCTTCTCTATGTATTGAAAAAGCATCAATGAAAAAAAAAAAAGAAAAAGCATCAATGTTTCTTACCTGATCACAGATCAGTTCCCACTTTTTCTCGTTGTCATACTGCCGCAGCAACCTGGCTTTGTCAGGGGGTAGGTTCATAGCATTCTGTAAGGAAAAAAAAAAGAAATATGTCACATCTCACAACAAGAGTAACAGATCGCTCATGGGCAGGCCAAAGAATACTACTGTGGTTCTTCAATGGCTTCAGCTCCTAGCATCTGATGAAACAGAAACACCCTACACAGGTCATTTAAATATCAAATTGCTTGAATGGGAGGAGATAGTCTCTGAAGTCCTATATTGGGACACTGGGGTGGTCTGCTCTGAACTACAGACTTTCATTTCAGCAAAAGTAATTACTTCTTCACTTAATAGCAGGCTCTCAGTCTTCTCAACAAAGCACCAGAGGTTATTGAGAAGGTACTGTCCCAATTTTCTTTTCCAGGCATAAGAGTCTTCCATTTTGAACAGGGGGAACTTGATTTTGTTATATCCTTATCAAAATTTGCTCCCAATTCCTTTTGAAGTACTACAGCCCCACCAGACACAGAACAAAAAACACTAAAAGAAAACTCAACAAACAGAACCATTGACAGATAACGTCAACTTTGACTCGCTTTGATAGACTATGAGTAAAGAAACAGATGAAAGAAGAGAACAATGCAACTGGTTTTTGTCCCCTCTGTGAGATGACAGCACTCCTTCATGACACAGGTTAATATCAGTAACCTCTCCTCTCAGTTTAGCTGAGGAGTGGGGTTTGCAATGAGAAATGGATCATGAGCTACAAGATGTCGAGACATCAGACTTCATGAAACCCTCCTCCATTAACAGAGCACACTTTCTATAGTGTTGATGGTGATTTTCCCAGGGCTTCCCTGGTGGCTCAGTCAGTAAATGCAATGCAAGAGACCTGGGTTTGATCCCTGGGTTGGGAAGACACCCGGGAGGAGGGCATAGCTACTCACTCTAGTATTCTTGCCTGGAGAATCCCCATGGACAGAGGAGCCTAGCGGGCTGCAGTCCATGGGGTCCGCAAAGAGATGGACATGACTGAGCGACTAAGCACACAGCCAGGTACATACACATCAGTCAGTGTCCCAAATTACCAATCATATACATTCTCAAGATACTTGTCTTGGGTCTGATGTGATTTCAAGATACTTGGGCATGGAGCATGGCAGAAAGAGAGAGCCCCAGAAGAAATTCCTACCTGTTCCCCTGTCTCCCTAAAGCTACCATGCTTTAGACAACTGAGCCAAATATTCAACTAATTTCATGTATTAACTGTCCCATCTAAACCCTTATATCAACACTCTAAATCATACCTGGCTCATAGTAAATAATATAGCCCCTTGCCTGGGTCAATATTTGAGTAGACAAATGCAGAGGTCTTGAACTTATAATGCTCAAACCCCTAGCTCTCTGGAGGACTTGGACTTACAGAGGAATAGTTCCCCTTGCTGCCATTACTGTCTCATGTCATCCAGCAAAACAAATTTAATAGAGGTGACGGTGGGTGAGTTATTCTGACTTAATAGCAGACAATTAACCTTTGATGATTTTGACTGATACAACCGAAGCATTTACCCCAATGCTCAATCTAGTATCCAGACTAATGTGTAGATATGTACCACTTATCAATTTGAATCTAATAACCTTTTTCAGAATATTAATTTTTTAACAACCCCCAAAGCTTATTAGAAAATCTTTAGACTCCAGAGTTTTCAATGATACTGCCAAGGTTTCTCCATAAAAATATCTAAAATGGGAAAAATACTTTTATATGGCCTATCTCCATGGAATATCTAGTTGAAGTAAAACAGAAAATAACTATTTGTATTTATTTGCAATTACACTTTTATAATGTTCAACAACCACCCCTGAGATAAAGCAAAGGAGACTTCCATACATGTCTTTCTGAGGGAGTCCAACATTATTGATCATTAAATAACCAGCCCATCATTGCTTATTTGCACCCAAGAGATAGATTATTTCCTCTTAAACTGATTTTGACCCTCATGTTAGTGCCCCTGGGTGTGCATTAAATAAGAACAATAAAATTATAAGGTAGATTAAATGAGTTTTTTTCCCCAAGTCCTTATTAACCTCTCGTGATACAAAGGGGTAACACAATGAATGCCTAAACTCCTACAAGGTGCCAAGCATGGTATAGGCACTCTGTATACATAATTTAATATTCATGACAAGCCCATGGGATAGATATAACTTCCCCCATTTTACAAATGAGAAAACAGGCCTAGAAGTGCTTACTCAAGGTTAGACTTCTTTACAGAAGAAAACAGGACCTAAACTTAGTCTGTTGGACTCCAAGGACAAACACTAAAAATGCCAGACCTTTTTTTTTTCTTTTTTGGCATCGAAGTAGAATGGCAAATAACTGACTTTCTGTTAGTACTCCACAAGACAATCACACAACAGCATGCAAATAGTGCTACCGAAATTAGATGCAGGCCCTGTTGTTACTGCAAAGAGAAAGCCAAGATACTCCTTTCTGGATCAACTTTTCTTTTAATAAAACAGTCTTTCATTCAAATGTTTATGAAGCACCACCCTAGTACAAGCACTGTGCTCCACAGCACAGTGGGGAACCTAACAGATATAGTCCCCATGGAGCATCATATTCTAATGAGCTGAAGATGAAACAAACCATTCTTCTCAAACTCTGATAAGTCTTGTTAGAGGTTATCAGAAGGCAACTTACAGACTGAACTATCTGCAAAGAGGGCTTCCCTGGGGGCTCAGACGTTAAAGAATCTGTCTGCAATGCAGGAGACCTGGGTTTGATCCCTGGGTCAGGAAGATCCCTTGCAGAAGGCAATTCTTGCCTGAAGAATTCCATAGACAGAGAGCATGGAAAGCCTATGGTTTTTCTAGTCTTCATGTACGGATGTAAGAGCTGGACCATAAAGAAGTATGAGTGCCAAAGAATTGATGCCTTCAAACTGTGGTGCTGGAGAAGACTCCTAAGAGTCCCATGGACAGAAAGGAGATCAATCAGTCCATCCTAAAGGAAATCAACCCTAAACTTTCATTGGAAGGACTGATGCTGAAGCTGAAACTCTTAATACTTTGGCCACCTGATCAAAGAGCTGATTCATGGGAATGACTCTGATGCTGGGAAAGACTGAAGGCAGGATGAGAAGGGGACGACAGAAGATGAGATGGCTGAATGGCATCATTGACTCAATGGGCATAAATTTGAGCAAACTCCTGGAGATACTGAAAGACAGGGAAGCCTGGCATGCTGCAGTCCATGGGGTCGCAAAGAGACAGACATGAATGAGCAACTGAACAACAGCAACATCTGGAAAGACTTCTCAAGGAAAAGATAACAATTAAGGTAAGTCCTAGAAATGAGAAAAGTTGAGTCAGGTAAAGAGTGGACGGCAGTGTTCTAGGCAGAGAAAACAGGGAAAAGATGCTAAGGTAAGGAACAGTTGGATACATCAAAGAGCTGGAAGTGAGTCAACATGGCTGGAGAGAAAGCAAAAGAGAGAGAATGAGGGAAAGATAAAGCTAGAGAGATGAGTCAAGGCTAGGTCATGTCCAGCCATGTAGGACTGGAGTAAATACTTTTCCTTTGCTCTAAAGTGTAATGAGAAACCAGTGAAGGCTTGTAAGTATGAGATGACATAATCAGGTTATGTTTTACAAAGATTATCATGGGTGCTTTATGGACAACTGATTAGAAACAGCACAAATGGAAACTCTCCCAGTTGGGAGTAGTTCAAATGAACGGCAGAAGCCAGGGCAGTACTTCAAATGAATGGCAGTAGGCTGGGACAAGGCAGGTGAGATCTGGACTGAAGCAGGTAGATAGATGTCAGAAATAGTATGTGAAGTTGACTGGAGAGGGCTGAGGGAGGATGTTGAGTGTTAATACCTGGTTTCTACCTTGAGTCACTAGGTGAACGGTGGTCTGTTTAAGAGGGGCACACTGCAAAGGTGGCACGGATGTGGAGGAGGCGGTGAAGAGTAAGATTTCTAAATGGCCCTAACTGGTTAGGTATATGATAGCTAGGAAACATCCAAGAGACCACTCAAGCAGTCAGGTAGATATACAATTCTGGAGGTCAGAAGAAAGGTCTGCATCTTTCTGAATGAGAAGAGTCCTAAGTCTTTTTGAACCTGATAACTAGTTAACATCAGCACCCATACATAAAAACATGCACTCGCTAATCATTCACCAAGCATTTAAAATCACCCCTTATACAGGTCAAGCCTCTGAGCAGTTCAGGTATACATTACCCAGCTTAATAAATCTACAAGGACCATGAGGAAGCAGCTCCATTTAAAATCAGACCCTCCACAGAGGCCTGGTTAAAGTTCAGGGATGTTGTGACTAGCTGGCAAGAACTGCCCTTAGACTTTTTGAGAATGCATTCATTCTTTTGAGCTGTATAGGGCAGGCCTTGGGAGTCCAAGCTAAATGTTTGTGCAGGTAACTCCCGAGAGCCCAAGCTATTTTCCGAGGAACCTGATGTGAAGAGTCCACTCATTAGAAAAGACCCTGATGCTGGGAAAAATCAAGGGCAGGAAGAGAAGGAGACAACAGAGGACGAGATGGTTGGATGACTTGGTTGGATGAGATGGTCAGCGACTCAATGGATGTGAGTTTGGCAAACTTTGGGAGATAGAGAAGGACAGGGAGGCCTGGTGGGCTGCAGTTCATGGGGTTGCAAAGAGTCTTAACACAACTTAGCCACTGAACAACACTGGCTGTCTCTCCAGGCTCCACTACTGCCTGTATAAAAATGGATTGCCCTTCTATTCAACAGAAAATGTACAACTTCCAAGTGGTCCTAAGCCCTGTGACAACTCAATCTCTTACATACTTAGTGATATCTCAACACAGGGCACTCCTTCGCTCCATGGATTCACCCTCTACGTATGTCCTAGGCTTTGACCACGCGCCAGTGTACCTGCCCTGCAGGCACAGGAGGAAATTCAATCATGAAGCTGCTGTGCTCAAGTACATGCCAAAGGTCCACTGAAGACATATGATCAGTTCAGTTCAGTTGCTCAGTCATGTCCGACTCTTTGCAACTCCAAGGACTGCAGCACGCCAGGCATCCCTGTCC